GAGAGAGAGAGAGAGAGAGAGAGAGAGAGAGAGAGAGAGAGAGAGAGAGAGAGAGAGAGAGAGAGAGAAAGAGGTTGAATGGCAAAATTGAAAAACGGGTCAAATTAGGGCCGCGATCTATTTCACAGTTGGAATGGTTTTTTAAATCTTATTTAGTATTTTTCCTCGAAAGATCACAACAAAATATACGTGTACTCTAATTTTTACGTTTTTTCACTCATTCTTCTGAGCGAGAAAACTCCCTGAATTTGGAGTACTGTATCAGTTGGCCTACACATCGTTGAGTGGCAAAAATAGAAAATATGTCGAATCGGGGCGACGATTATTTCACGGTCTAAATGATTTTCTGAGAATGTTTTGTTATTTTTTCTGGAATGCTATGTGTACCCCCGTATGTATACGGGGAGTACGAACAGTCGTACGACCATACGTTCAGGCCCCCAGGCGGTCGTACGGGCCGTATGAGCCGTTTCGGGGGCCTTCCCAGGGGGGGGTGACATATGAGGGGAAGGGGGGGTGTGCATGTCGAGGGCTACCCCCCAATGTAGGGAAAAAAAAAAGGTTTGTTGGGGGTTGGGGGGGGGGAGGAGGGGGGTAAAGGTAGGGGGGGGAGGGAGGGGAGAGGCGGGGGGAGAGAATAAAAAGAAACGAAAAGATTGATTGATTGATTGATTAAAATAGAAAGAAATAATATAACGCCCAAACCTTCTTTTTTATTTTTTTTTATTGATTGATTGGTTGGGGGAGGGTCGCCCGCCGGCCCCCCACCACTACCACACACACACACACATACACGCATACAACACATACACACACCCACACACCCACACACGCACACGCACACACACACACTCGCACACACACACGCGCACCCACAGTCACAAGCGTGGACACACACATGCACACATACACACGCTCACACACACACACGTACGCACGCACACATACACACAGACGCACACACACAAACATGCACACACACAAATGCACACACACACACACACACGTGGGAACACACACAGACACACACACACACACATATGCACACACGCATACTCTGTGTGTGTGTGTGTGAGTGTCGCGCGTACTCGCACTGAGAGAGAGGGAGAGAGACAAAGGGAGCGCTTCCTACCTCACACAACTGTGTGGTGATGCATTTTTTTTTTTTTTTTAATCTCTTAATCAATCAATCAACCAGATTTTCGTTTTTTATTTTGTTTTTCTTTTCCTGTTTTGATGATTTTTGTTTTTAAAGAATATAAAAAAACAGACCAAAAACAACTAAAAAAATAAGGAGTTCTAGAGCATGAAACACTCTACATCCCTTTTTTTTTTTTTTTTTTTTGGCGGGGGGGTTTCGGCACTTTATACGAATACATATGTATGGCCGTAGAAGAGGACCCTCGTACGTCGTACATTGTGTTTCTCAGCTGGAATGAATACAACCTCGTTTATGGATTCTCAAAGTTTTAGATTTTTCAGCGGATTCCTCCAAATATAGAAAATCGTCCAAGTTGCCTTTTGCAAAATGCCTCTTTTGTTGTGCCCGACCTCCCTGTTCAGTGGGGCGGCGAGGGAAACGACATCCAACATTTTCATTGCTGGACTGCACGTGAAGAAGCCGCGATCGTCAAGCAGTGAAATGGGCCGGCAGCAAGGAGTCTGTGGTACAAACAAAGGGCAATGGCACCATAAAACAAATGTTCTTAGAGTACCCATTGAAAATGCCTACTGTTTTCGGCTACGTTACCGAACATACACGTACGGGGCCTTTCCGTATGAAACGTACAGATAATATCTGTAGGGGAACCTGTACGCCCCCGTATGACCCGTACGAAAAAAAAAAAAAAAAAAAACGTCATCCAAAAAATCCGAAAAACATATATGTGATGTAACATCCCAAAACAAGCAACATTTGCCTGAGCACCATCTGCAGATTCTTATTAGAACTGGAGAAAAAAAATAAAAACAGTAAAAAAAATTAAAAAAAAGTCGTACGGGCCTTGAGTATGAGTAGCGTACAAGAAATGAGTACAACTTGTACTCGTACGGGGGTGAGTAAGAATCACAACGTAGGTTTTCGAGGGGGGGGGGGGGAAGKGGGTAGCAAAACGAAAATACTTTTGGTCAATTTTTCGTCGAAAGCAAATTAAAAAAAAAACAAAAAATGCGATGTGGAGCGCATCGGTCCACAGGGGGACCCTCCTGGCCATTGTCAAGCACATCGGTCCCCTATGTATCACTGGCGACCTCGCTCGCGGGGTCAAACTTTGCGGGTGGCCATGATCACGGCCGCCTCCCCTCCGGCCGCAGTTTGGTGCAACTTATCAGAAATTGTTTTAGAATTCAAAAATTAAAAAAAAAATAAAAAAAAATGATGTTGTAGATCTTTGTGGAATTTTTGTTTGTTTTCTTTTACTTCGTCTTTGAATTTTAAAAACTCAGAAACTATTTTTCCTGAGGCAAAAGCTGATTTTTTTCCGTTTTTTTTTTTAAATTATGATACTTTTATGTTTTTTTATTTTAAACAGTAAAGTTTTTAGATATGACCACAATGCAAACGTTGTTCAATTTTTTTTTCTGTGTAACATATTTTTTCCCATAAAATTTTGATTTTTTTTCTTTTCATGGCCTCGGCCACGCATGGCGGTCGCTGGGGGGGATTCATAGTCGATCCCGCAGGGAGACCCTTATGGGCGCGTCACGCAGGATTTAGCAGGGGTTCTACTTGAGCAGCGCCGCTCCGATCGAGTGAGCCAGCCATACTTGTCGTGAACCCCTACTACAGGATATTATCACGCGAGGTACAACTTTACCTCTATCCAAGGGATTGTCACCACACTTAGGTAGGCGTATCCCCGCCGAGTTATGAACCACATGCGAAGGCTTCTCGAATGCAATCGTAGACGTGACCCAGCTGAGGGCGTGTCTCGTTCGCTGTAGCATAGGGGGTACACGTGGTCAAACACCCAAAATTGAACCCGTACGTGAACCGTTACTTGGGGCGCTGATCTCCCAAACGGGATTCGGCGTCAGTCGATTAGGACGGTCAATCTAACCACGCAATACACTTACAAAAGAAAATTCGTTCCATCCTCATATTTTCAACTCAACCCATAACTCTTCGCTACGTGAAAAGTAGGCATTGTGTTTGAGAGTTCGCATAAAATAGCTCGGCGATGCAGACCTCCGTATATCTATGAATCCCCCTCGGCCGCGGTCAACGCGGGCATGACTGTGGCCCGCGATCATGACCGTGGCGACCGCGGGCGAAAAGGGCCGACCGCAACCGCGGGGGGGGGGATGCGGGGAATCGGAGACCGCATCCCGAAGGCGGGGGGCGGGTTCTACCCCCCGCGGTGAAGAAAAAAAAAAAAACTTAAAAGTGGGGGGGTGGTTTTAGGGGGCTGTGGGGGGGGTTGAAAAAAAATCAAGGACCCTTGGGGGTGGCGCAGGGGTGTTGTGGGGGGTGGTAGGGGGATGTCTACGAGTGCGTGAGTCTATTTTTCGGTGGGTGTATGAAGCTTTAATAGGGTTTTCTAGCAACGAACGGGCAACAAAAAACAACATATAAAACAAGTATTATATTGTTAGTGGATTGGATCGTGCAAAGCATGAACAACATCAGACCATGCATGAAATGTACTACAAATGAGGTTCGACAGGTGTATTAACAACAATATCATAGCAACACACAATGTCACACAGCAATGCCACCCACCATACATGAGCATGTTGAGGTGTGTCGCGAGAGAGATTTTCATAAGCACATGGAAAGGGACATGAGTGAATGAAGATTAAAAAAACAAGTACCAGGGCAAGGCCAGTGTGTGGCGATGTGCCAAAAGTAGCAAATGTCACGGGTACAGATAACATGACAACTCCACCTCGAAATGTATCCACGAAATGAAACAACTGCGTGACTAAGCCCATATGGACAAAAACCTGCTAACAATATAAAACCCAGATAAAATACAACATACCCACTCGACCTGCACCAAATGGCAGGTTCGTGGCATATCAGCTACAAACAAGTAAAGACAAAACAAATCCCCTAAAGACTAGAGTGCCAACGTGAGATAAAATAACAAAAGGCATAAAAAAAGGTGATGTCATCTAACTCTACCAGCCTACTCCACGTGGACAAAGACCTGCTGACAGTGCAAGACTGGGATAAAATACAACATACCTACAATATACCTACGCCACGTCGCCACCTACAGTGGACAGGGTCGTGGCATATCAGCTACAGATAAAATAAAATAAAATACATGGCAGATCTAACTCCTCCCACTACGCCTCCGACCTGTCCCGTGATGAGGTGTGCCTGATCTGGTCACGGGAGGTGCACTCCGTCCCCGCCCATGTGTCGCTCTCTCTCCGCGCGGGGTCTCGGTGCGCGGATCTCCTATTGCGGTAGCTGCAGCGGTCGCTGCTCTCCTGGCTCTGTCCCTCCGCACAGTGACGTCGATGGGCTCTGTCTCCGTGTCCGCGTCATCCCCGTGCGCCTCCCTCTCGGCCAGCCTATCACGCTCTCGAACCAACTCGTCCAAACGCTGTTGCCCGGCTGCAATCTGAGCATCTAGTCCGCTAATAGATGCGTGACGTCGCGCCCCTGCTGGCATATATAAGTCGTCCTCCTCGCCCGACGTGTAAGGCAATCCTCGCCGTATATTCTCTACAATACCAGGGGCCGAGAACACCCGCCTCCTCGTCTATCTATCCGACAGTCCCAAGATACGTGCTGCCGTTGCACACTGGGTCCGTCATAATCCTTCCTCAGACGATCCGTGACTCGTCTGCAGAATGACCACCCGCCGCCTGATGCCCCTCGATTGCCGGATGCCACTGTACTCACTGCTCTGCCTGATGCAACTGCCGGCAGCGGACGTGGTGGGTGCATCTCTCTCTCTCTCTCTCCCCCTCTATCTCAGTTGCAGGTTGTCTGTCAGAGGCCTCATCCCCCCTGACATCACTCCGTGACGACCCTGACCATCGAGGGCTCTGGGGCACCCACCTCGGAGGCGACGTGAAACCATGTGGCGGTCGGCAGGGGTCGCTCCTCCGACCAGTATGATCGTAGGGGTCCTCCATCCCCGCGCGCTCCAGCTACTCTTGGTTGAGAGGTGGTGGGGTGGACTCCCCCAGCCTCTCGTTGAACCGGCGACCTCTGTCGCCCTCGTCAGCGTGAACAGGTAGCGGAGTCCTCACAACCAATTTGAGGGACATGTCTCCCGCTACGTCCTGCGTCAGGGACAACCGGGCCTCGTCGTCAACGTCGACAACACCCTCCATGACAGGACTGTGTCCTGCACCACTGTCGCTGCCCTGACGGTCAGTGTGCAACCCTGGCTCCTCATCCATAACCGCATCCCCCCCCTGCGAAGTACCGTGGCCTCCAGGTGTACCCCCCTCCATGTCCCCCGCGCAAAGGCCAACGATCACTCTGTCGATGAACCCTCCGACGTCTGTGGCCTCTCCCTCGTGCGTGGCGTCCGAGCTATCATCTCGTGCGTCCTGATCGCTGTCATCTCCAACAGGCCGACCATCACTGTCACCCTCTCTCTCGGGTGCGTGCTCCCCCTCCACGGCACGATCGCTCGCCCCCGTCGGCACACCAACGGGCGGTCCACCACTCTCCATCTTTAAACCACCACCGGGCCGTACTGCACCCGTCTCCAACTCCCGCAACCGCTGCTGCTCGGACTCAATGCCTCCCTACCGTCTCACCTCGGCATAGACCACAAGCGTGCCTCCTCCTCATGATCAATGCGGGTGTCCCTCTCCTCCTCCGTCTTCTCTCTCTGACTCGTATCTCTCGCCTGCACCGGCTTCTCTGTAAATCTGTAACGCAAGACAAGCGATCGACCATGAGAGCCAGCGACGTCAAAATCGCTGGTCCTCAACGAAGACGGCATGTCGTGGGCGTCCTGACGATCACGACCGTGAGCAGGAGTGACCGGAGTCTGCTCCCCCGCTGGGATCTCATCTAGGTGCTGCGAATGTGCACCCCTCTCAGCCCCCTGCCCTGCCAATCTCCTCGATCGACGAAGCTCCCATGCCCTGGCAAACGAGTGGTGGCTAGGAGCGAACCGTGCATTCGTTAGATGCTCCTCCGTCTTGCCCTCGTCCTCGCCGCTGGAGTCTACACCGTGTACCTGCCCCCTCGGCAGCGGGGGCAGCTGTATATCTCTCTCCCTCCATGGCTGACCTGAGTGACCCGCAGGCGGTGAAGGGGACGGTCGGTCTACAACACCCTCTGTCCGGAGTAAGCCGTCGCCGGTGATGACTGGCGTCCGCGATGCAAGGCCATCCGATCCTGCACCATACGTAAAATGCACCTGCTCCGCTGTCCTATCGCCGCCCGACACAAGGTCCTCCGGGTCCGTCCAGTCGTACTCCCCGACCTGCATACCCTCAACGCCGGCGTCCTGTGCGGGCGGAGGCACATGCTCGTAAGGTAGCAATGTGGCTGCCCTATTCCCCAAACACCTCAGACACCGGTCGCGGAAAGGTGGCGTCATCACGTAAGAACACGTCGATCTGCCTCCTGAGCTCCGCATCGCTGACGGTCCCAGCCAGTCTGGCCCCCCACGCGTCTAGCTCCGGGTCGGCGTCCTCCTCGTCCTCGCCCGCGGCGGCAGGAGGTCTCTGCTCCTCTCTCTCTCTGTCCATGATCCAAGGCAAAACATACCCACCGCCATGCTGCCTGCACGAAGCCAGTTTGAGATTAGTCGTAATCTCAACCAGCTGTGCGAGCTTGGCAAAACCAAGCTTGTTGCGCTTCGCCGTCAGGATGCACTCATGCTCCGCCCAATTCCTCTCCGCAGCGGACGCCCACATGTGCATCACTCGAATGGCGATGGAACGCAACTCTGGGTGGGCTACGCCGTGGGCGAACCACCATGCCGCACAACGAGACGCTGTGGGCGAACCACCAGCTGACATAGAAAGATCGCCCCAGTTGCCTCTCCGGGCGTGGAAATGTCGAATCTGCGCGCGCACGATGAGGTAATCTCTGCCTGTCGAATCTCCGCCCGTCTGCGCAAGCAGAAATCGATCACACTCTCGTATGACCTCGACGTCCTCCGATGTCGTGTGGAGAGACTCGAAATACTTCAAAGAGCGTCGACGGGGGTTGAGGAGATGGGCGGCGGCATGGGCAGGTTCCAACAGATGCATCAGGCGCATCTCAACCTCTCCCACGCATGCCAGAAACTCTGCCAGGACCGGCATCAACCTCATCAGCCGAACGAGATGCTGACTCCACTCGTAGACAATGGACATCATCATCCCTCCTCTGTCCATCCGCCTCAAAAGCTGATGGACCGGCTCCATCACAAGGATGGCAAACTCCACATGGCGCAAGAACTGGCCATCATGAATCTGGAGGCGCACCCACCGAGCCTGTGGAATGAGCCTCCACTCCCACGGAATGCTAGCCCACGCGTTGTCGTGCAACATAGACTCCAACACGTCGCGTGTCCCGACCAGACAGGTCAACATAAAAAAAAACGATGCAAAACGTATCTCGACCGGCTAAACAAGTGAGACGTAAGGGCTCTTCCTCTTGTAGAGGGCGAGGGCTGCTCCGTGCGATTTGATGAATCGCACCAAAGCTGGAGCGCGGATGATGGTGTCCCTCGCCCACTCCACATGTGTCCTAATATCTAACAACATCAAGTTGCAGACATGGGTCGAGGAGGGGAGCCACGTGATGCGCCTGACATCCGGGTCGGGGTCCTAAGCGAGGAGTTTGGACGCCGCAACATAGTTGCTGGCGGAGTCCGTGCAAAATGCGATCACATCCTTCGCAGGGAAGGACGTGATGATAGCCCTCCACCAGCAATAGACAATAGCCCCAGTCTCGGGGACTGAACCGTCACGGCAGATGGTGGCACAAAGTAGTGCGCCATTCGGGCCGGGTGCAAGGAAGTTCACGATGGGCCGTGAATCGCGAGACTTCCTACCGTCCAGCATGGTCGCGCCGCTGTGGGCGAAAGACTCTTGAACCTCTCTCAGCAAGGTGGCCACCTTTGCCCTCTGCGAAGGAACCCGGGATCGCCGATTTCCCTAAACGAGGGAAATCGCATTCTCACACCTAGAGGCATCATTTCGGATGCCTTCCTAACCTCCCTCCAAGACTATCTCCTAAAGGCATTGAATGCAATGCCGGCGTCATACACCCATTGAAGAAACTTGTCGCTGAAGTGCGACTGTTTCTCCACGTTGTAAACCTCATTGATCCGGCTCTGCCGGACCCTCTTTCCCGTCTGAGGCGGAAGGTCATCCCCATCCACCACCTTCCTTTTTCCTTGTCCTTCGCCCCTGCCCTGCATGAAGTCAATACTACCTCCTCACCCTGCAAATCCACACCGCCTGACAAACCGCCCCCCTCCCGCTCCTCAGCCTCGTCTAGGACGTCTTGCACCTCGTCACGGGTTGCAGCGGACGACGACACTCGTGGACGGGAATGGCCCGCAACTGATCGTGCATCCCTGATCCCCTTGTCCTCCATGTACGGCAAAAGGGATGCCACGTGCTCAATTGCGAAAATGTATTTTGTGTCGTTTCATATGTCCACAAGAACGTCCATTGTTGCTGCACGACACTTCTTCTGCTGAGTGAAGTGGCGTGCTGCCTTCGACACATTCCCCTACCAAATTTGTTTGCAGAGGTTGCACCACAACTTGCGGTCCCCATGCATCTTATCCCACGTCTCAACCTTCTGCCCCTCCATCACGTACTTCCATACGCACGAGGCCCTCCTCAAGTTCGCCATGTCAACATCTGAAACGGGGATGAAAGCACTCCCCCCAGACCCGGCCGCCCCCTTGGTCATTGTTGTGGATCCTGAAACAGGCCCGCCCTCCTGCTGGTCCGGTGAACATGGCTAGCGTTCATAGATCCGTCCGGCGCTGCCAACCCCCGTGCCTGCTTGCGGTCAAGAAGTCAACCACGCGGTCTGGATCGCGGCCATGCGGTCAACAAAGCAGCCGCGTGGTCGGGAATGGCGGCGCGAGCCTGCGGTGTTCGGCGCCCGCTTGTGCGATTGCAGCTGCTGCCGTCTGCAGACTCTCTCTATCTCTCTCTCTCTCTCTCTCTATCTATCTATCTATCTATCTATGTATCTATCTATCTACCTATATGTGTGACCGATCTTGCCGTCGCTGTCGTGCCACGTGGCCGTGCCGACTGACCTCGCAAACCAGACCTGCGCAACAAAGGAGCAGAGACACCCGAACACACACAATCAATCAATCAATCAATCAATCAATTAATCAATCAATCAATCAATCAATCAATCAATCAATCAATCAATCAGATCAGACCAATCAAGGATCTTGATTGGTTTGATCTGAATGATTGATTGATTGATTGATTGATTGATTGATTGACTGATTGATTGATTGATTGATTGATTGATTGATTGATTGCTTGATTGATTGACTGATTGATTGATTGATTGATTGTTTGTTTGTTTGTTTGTTTGTTTGTTTGTTTGTTTGTCTGTTTGTTTCTGGGTAGCACGGCGTACACGTACGCGGGCTCCGCATACGTGCATACGCGTATGCACGTATACGCATACGTGTCGCATACGTATGCGCGCATACGCAAATTTAGGGCCCGCGTACGTGGTCACAACGTGCTGTTTCCCGGGTTTGTCTGGGCCCAGTAGGGGTTGGGGGGTGGGTGTTGGGATTGGTTGGGGTGTGTGTGCGTGTGCGTGTG